AGATATATAATACAAGAAATGAACAGTTAAATTATAAAGCAGTACAAATGGCTCAGTGCAACTCACTCCCATCAGAGAGTTGTGAGACACTAGCAGTCCTTCAAGTCTTGAGGGCTGACCAGTAGTCCTTTATAGAGAGAGAGCTAGGCTATCCCAGCACTGGCAGCAAACCAGTCAGCCAGGTCACCAACTGTCAGACAAGTCACCAACTGTCAGCTCCAGAGATATAAACTTCAATCGTGTGTTCTTAAAGGGACCTCAACTTACAGCGACACAGTCCACAGGCTAGGCATCTCACAGGTAGTGTAGCCTGTAAATTGAGGCACAGAACAAGCAAGGCAGCCACACCTGGTCCGATGATCAATGAGCGATGATCAATGAGACAAGAAAGGCGAGGCTCACTGAGCCATTTATCTCTCCAACCTTCAATTAATCCCACTTGTGTTTATCGGCCAGGCTGGCACAATAAACTATCTCAGTATATTTGACAACGATGAAAATTATCAATCACCATGGAAATTTAGGTTTTTCTATATTTTCAGATGGAGTTTATTTGTTGTTTTCTTGCTTTGTAAAGTATTGTTTCTGATTATAAAACTAAAACTTTAAAGTGCAGAAAAATATGAAGGAAAAAGTCATCCAAAACAACTACTGTTAAATTTGTTTGTTTTCTACCCATTTTTCTATGCAAATTCATATATAATTAGATTCCAATTATATAAAATTCTGTGTCTTACATTTTCAATTAACATTATAGCATAAGTGTTTATGTTATTGATAACTTTATTTTTGCATAATATCCTCCGTATGGCTGTAGTAAAATATGTTTAGCTATTTCCCATTTCTTAGAAATTTAGGTTGTCTCTAATGCTGATCTTACAAACAGTGCTTTGATTATAAATTTCTTAAGGGCAGGATTGTGTTTTTTACCTTAGTTTCACCTAGCACTCAGCATAGCAAATAGTAGGCACTCAATAAATCTTGTTAAGCTAAAAGAATAACTATATTTTCATTTCTAATTATTTCCTAATTGGTAACTCCTTGAAGTAGAATCATGGTACCTCCCTGAAGTAGAATCATTCGTTTCTAATTATTTCCTAATTGGTAACTCCCTGAAGTAGAATCATTTCTAATTATTTCCTAATTGGTAACTCCC